GATATTCTTGAGCATGACACCCAAGGTTGTCCTCTGACTTTCACATGTGCACACACTTGTACCTATATGCAATTGTATAGATATGCACATACAATTAAAAATCACATGTGTTTAAGGGCACTTGATGTTCTGATGTACATTATAAAATGATTGCCACAGTTAAGCAAATTTACATATCACTGAGCTCCCACTGTGTGTGTGTGTATATATATGTGTGTGTAGAGCTCTTGATATCAACTCTTAGTTTCTCACCCTTTCCTCCCTCTCCAAGCTCCATGTAATCACCATTCTATTGTTCATTTTACTGTTTTGTCTGTTTATTTTTTGGAGTGTATATATGCTGGGGGTTTGACTCAACCTCACTCATCCTAGGCAAGCATGTTTCCACACATCTGACTTGTTTTGATTCTATAGAAGTGAGGTCATATAGAATTTTTCTTTCTATGACTGGCTTATCCTTAAGGTTCAAGTGTGCTGTCAATCATGGTGGGGATCCACCCCTCTATGTGTGTGTGTGTGTTTGTGTCTTTGTGAAGATGTGTGTGCATATGGAGGCTAGAGGCTAACTTTGGGTGTCATTCATCAAGTGCCATCTACCTTGCTTTCTTCAGACAAAGTCTCTCAGTAGGCCTTGTAATTACTAATTCAGTTTTGTGGTGGGCCAGTGAGATCCTGGCATCCACCTGTGTCCACGTCTCCAGGGCTGAAATTGCAAGAGCTCATAGCTATGGCTGCCTTTTTAACATGGGTTCTAGCCATCAAACTAAGATCCCCATGCATGCATGGCAAGCACTTTACCAATGGAGCTATCTCTCCCACTAAGAAGGTTATTTAGTACAGTTTCAGAATGGAAAACCCAATGTTGAGGAACTGCTTCTAACTAGGGCCTTCAAGATACATCATCATGTCATCATAGAAGGCAAAACAAGACTGTGTGTGTGTGTGTGTGTGTGTGTGTGTGTGTGGTATGTGAGAGAGAGTGCAAATATTCCTCTATTTGAAACCCACTCCTAAGATAACTAACCCACGAGATATAAACACATATAAAATATATTAATATTGTATTATATTATATATTACATATTTTAATCTATATAATTTAAATATAATTCTATATTGTATACTATAATAATTATGCTTCTTTGTGCTGCATCTTCTCGGACTCATTGGATCCTTCATATCATAGGATCCAGTCGTCACTGTCCCCTTGCTTTGTTGATGTCACCAAATGGCCTTTAGCAGCAGTCCTCCATATGTCTGCCTGTCCATCCAACCATTTGTCCGTCTGTCCATCCATCCTCCATCCATCTGTTCATCTGTCCATCCATTCATCCATCCAGCTTACTAAAGCTTTGGTCCCCACCTGGAGGCCCTTCACTATCTACACCTCCTCATCTGGACACACTGCTCTCACCTCAGCACCCAGATTAAGCATTGCCCTTTCCTGCTGTCCCCATGTCCACCCCCATCTTCCACCCAGCACCTCCTTCCTCAAAGCCCTTACCACCACACACTCTGGCCACTTCCCTTCCTGTACCCACTGAAGACTAAGAACCCCAAGAGTGGAAGTCATATCCCATTCCCCTTTGTGTTCTCAGAGGTAAGCAGACTGGTCATATAGACATGCCAGTCAATGTTTGATGGTGACATCCATGTTCCCAACTGATCAAACGACAGTGAGTTCCCTTCTTATTTTTCACTGTGCATACTAAATTATTGCTCTGCTACCAAAAAACATTCATTTTCACACTCAAATTGTCAGGAAAGTAGTGACATTATGGGATGTGAAGAGCAGGATATTTCTGAGTCTTTTCACTGTCTTCAGCATTTAGATGTGTGTAGTGTGTGTGTATGTGTTGTGTGTGTGTGTGTGTGTTTTTTTTTTTTGTGTGTGTGTGTGTGCAAGTGTGGTACATGTGAAAGTCAGATTTCTACACTGAGTGCCCTTTTCAATAGCTCTCCACATTTTTCTTTTCTTTGCATGTGCATATAGTGTGAATGCACACGTTTCTGTGTGCACATATGTGTGAGTGCACACTGTGTGTGTGTGCACGCCTGGGGTTGATGTTGGGCGTTTTCCTTAATCACTCTCCATAATTTTTGTGTTTTTCAAATTTATTTTATTTTTATGTCTGTGTATGCATGCATTTCTACATGGGAGGGTGATCAGATGAGTGCAGTTTCCTGAGGAGGCCAGAAGAGGGCGTTGGATCCCTTAGAGCTGGAGTTACAGGTGACTGCTAGCCACCCAACATGGGTACTGGGAAGTGAACTTGGGTCCTCTCCAAGAGCAGCAAGTGCTCCTAGCTGCTGAGCTGTCTCTGCAGCCCTGCTACAATTCTCTGAGGCAGTTTGTCACTGAATCCAGAGCTTGACAATTATTTAACCTGGAAAGCTTACCCTGGGAATCCTTTGTCGCCACTTCTAGGTGAGGATAGGCCTTCTATCACACACCAGGCCACCATGCCTACCGGGCATTTACGTGAGTTTGATGGTCCTTGTAGTTGGAGAACAAGCACTTTATCTCCCAAGCCATCTCACAGCCCCCACCCTACTGTTTTAAGACTCTGGGGATTCGGCAAGCAAGACCCAGGGATTCTCTTTAAGCATCTTGTCTTGATCTCACCAGCCTTGGGATTACTGCAACAAACTGCCATGACCATGGGTGCTGGGGACCCAAACCCAGGTCCTCAAACTTGCACGGCATTTCACCAACCAAGCCCAAGAATTTAGTGGAGTTTTCAATTCTTTCATTTTCTGTTTTGTCTTCTCAGATTTAGGAGTCCAACATTAAACTCACAACAGCTAATAGAACTCACCATCTTTCTTCTGTTGATGTTTGCTTCATTATCCCCCTCACCACCTCCAAGCCGGGCTGGATTCTTCCATTGTTTTCTCAAGGACAGACTATGGCTGCCCATAGCTTCAAGTCCATCAGCTTAGTGAACCACGTAGGCTGACATTTCACCACATTGCAAGGCCAAGAATCCAAGAGCACACAGATTGTCCCAAACTGGGTGCGTTTTTTTCCCCCTCCTTTGGATTAATCAGTGAGATGGGGCCACACAGCAACAAACACAGAGCTGCAGGGCTGCTCCCAGGGAGCAGTTCTTGACTCTCAGGTCAAGAAGCTTTACTAAAACATGTCTTCCAATTGGAAAACATCCCAAAGACAGAGATGGTGCATGTCAGAGAACCTCAAGCAGCAAATGTGAGCTTGTGTGTGATGGCATGCCCAACCTCAACTGAAAGTTAGGACAGAGGGTGGCATTCCCTACAAAGACACGTTTGGATGTGGAAAGCCTCACACAGATGACAAGTCAAGTACCAGTTCTTTAAGAAGGAAATCACTGCAGCTAGAGAGATGGCTCAGTGGTTAAAAGTATTTGCTGGTCTTGCAGAGGACACAGGTTCGATTCCCAGCACCCACAGCTTACAATTGCCTGTTAACTCCAGTTCCAGGGGATCAGAGCCCTCTTCTGCCCTCTGTGGGCACTGCAGGCACACAGAGCACAATTCATGGAGGAACACACGTATAAATAGAAATAAATCTTTTAAAAAGGAAATTAGTACAGGGTATACCCTGCTAATACCAAAATTGGATTAAAATATATGAGATTAAAAAAATAAAAGTGGGCCTGAGGGTTTGGCTTAGTTGTTGTAATGCTTGCCTAGTATGCACAAAACCCTGGGTTCAAGCCCCAGAGGCTGTTAGCACCGAGCATGGGGGTAGAGTGGGATGGACACAGGAGGACCAGAAGTTCAAGGTCACCCTTGGCTACAGAGGGAGTTTGAGGCTAGCCTGGCATCTAAGTTTTCACAAGAGAACAAAACAAACAAAAGAGCTTCCGCAGATAATATCAAGGAACTCTTTCATGGAAAGACCACAAAGAGGAAATGGTAGAAAACAAGTTCAGACGGGTGAAAGGCTAGAGGGCTGCATCAGATGGCCAACATTCAACTAGCAGAGATTCTAGACAAATGGCAGGAGGGAGAAAGGGACACAGGCACACAGAAACTAATGAAAAAACAGAAATTATTGACCTGGGGGAGGGGGTGGGACAACATGCCCAAGGACACATAATCCTCTTATGGGGCTTGCTTCAACAGCTAACAATATTTCATTGTCAAAAGAAGCCATTATAAACACTTAGCATTGTTTTCATTTTTAAAAGTGATATGAACAGAGTGTACGGAATCCCGGGGTGAGAAATATTTCAAGGGAGATTTTAAAACATCTAAATCTTGAACTTCCTTAATGGGAAGTTTGGAATATCCCAATAACTCAAGAAATAGTGTTGGTTCAAGAGTTGGATTGCTGGGGCTAGAGAGCTGGGCCTAAGAGGGAGTACTATACTCCTTTGGTTCTCAGAGTCAGGTGGCTGGCTCCATAACCACCTGCACCTCCAGCTCCAGGGGTCTGGATCCCTCTCTCGGCCTCTGTGGGCACTTGCACTCATGTACATCCCCATACATAGCTATCAACATTGAACACTTCTTACCACACAAGTTTGTGCATGTTTGCTAGAATTACACTTAAATTTTTTTTTCTAAAAATTGAGTCTGGAATGTTTGCCAAATCCCATGTGTTCAAGAGTTACCCAAGCTTGGTGCTATTGGGAAATGGTGGAAGTTTTAAGTGGGAACAGGTGGGAGGCCTCCTGGTTGTAGGTGCACCTGTGAAGAAGGGGGTGTAGCCCCAGATGCTCTTCTTTTACTTTCTCTCTCATTCCTGGCCATGAGGTGAAGGGCTGGTACCCGTAGAGATGACTTTAACCCCATCCTGGAAGAAGCGAAGTTGCCCTTCTTTACAGAGTATTGGTTATGAGGAGGCCAGGTGGAGAGTTAGGTATTTGTGGTAGTGATGAGGTCGTCCCCACGGCTGTGTTGGAGACCAGTGTGGGAGTGGACACTCCCACCCTCACCATCATTTGTTCTCGCTTGAGGAAGCAGGGTCCATCAGCAGCACTGATGACAATCTATGGTTTTTCCGCTTGCAGGTCGGAGCTCTGCCCCGATTGTGTGATGTACTTCGTGTGCTGCAAGAGGAACGGGCCCAGTGTCTGCAGGAACTCTCCAATGAGAAGGAAGGAGATCTGGGCCTGGAGACAGTATCAGGTATGAGGCCTCCTCCAGCCCAGGGAACTCTGCAGGTGGGTCCTGTCCAGTCATCTGGAGCAGGAAACTTGTCCTCAGGACCAGGCAGGCTGTCCAGGGTGGGTCCAGGTTTGCTCCATCAGCTGTCAGATCAGGTACATGGTCTACATGGACTCGGAAGCTTCACACCCCCTTTCTCTGGGGACAGCCAATGCTTCCTTACCATCTGCTTCTGCACACACAGTTTGGTTGAGGAGTTTTTAGTTTGTTTTTTGTTTTTGTTGGTTTATAAATCTTTGAGTGTGTGTACATGTATAGGGTATGTGTATGGACAGAGATGGAGGAGGGGCAGGGGAGAGCATCAAGACCTTCAGGCTGAGATGCTTGTCAGGGAGCACATGCTAGGCTGAGGACAGTTACAGCCCTGCCTGGAGTCCCCCAGGGAGGGGCAGGGTTGTGGCTCAGTGGTAGAGCCTCTGCCTAGAATCTCCTAGATCCTGAAGTGTCTATGCTGTGGTGTGTGTGTGTGTGTGTGTGTGTGTGTGTGTGTGTGTGTGTGTGTGTAGGGACACACATGCCAGGGCATAGGTGTAGAAGTCAGAGGAAAACTGGTCCTTGTTTAAGACCAGGCCTCAACACTGCTGCCCATGCCAGGCTAACTAGCAGGCTGGAGAGCTTCCAGGCACTTTTCTGTTCCTTCCTCCCACAGGAACTCTGGGATTACAGATGTGTAATTTTACACCTGGCTTTATGTAGGTTCTGGGGTTTTGAACTCAAGTCCTCATGCTTGTGTAACAAGCATTTTATTTGTTGAGCCATCTCCCAAACCCAAAGTGAAGGTTTGGTGGGAAGTGCTTCACAGCATCATTGTTCTCTCATCCACACTCTTGGGGCACTGTGGGAGAGGCAGGTAGGATGGGAGGGGCAGGATGGAGTCAGGAAGGCTGGAATAGGGGGAAGAGAACACATCTGTTGCTGATGGTGCAGACCCAAACTTGAAAACTGACTGCCTGACTGCCATGCAGCCCCAGATGGAGACACATGTCTTCCGTTGCCTAATGACTCCTGAGGTCCCCTCGCTGAAAGCCCTTAAGGGCTAGGAAGCATCTTTAAAATTTTAAAATGTTTGTTTTTAATTTATGTATTTCATTCTGTACGTATATTTTACTCACAAGTATGTATGTGTACCACGTGCATTTCTGGCACCTGAGGAGGTCAAAAGACAATATCAGATGCCCTGGAACTGAAGTTATGGATGGTTGTGAGCCACTATGTGGGTGCTGGGACATGAACTTGGATTTTCTGCAAGAACAATAAGCTCTCTTAACCACTGACCCATCTCCAGCCCTGCCAAGGAGCATCTTAGCAAATATGGCCATGTATGTATAGCACCCTTCTACTCCCAGCTTCCAAAGAGGGTACCACTAGTCATCTCAGCATTCTTGTTTAGGGAACGCTGACTGGAAATCACTGGTTCTGTGACTGTAGCAAATTATTTAACCCTCTGAGGCTCGGTTCCCTGATCTCTAGAATGGAGATAAGTGTGGTAAAATGAGTACGGTACAGGGCAAGACCCTCTCTTCAATCCATAGCACCACGTTCAGTCAGTGAGGCAATAAATACCTATCATTATTATCAATCAACACTATTATAAGTGTTAATTGTATCCCTATTCTCTACTTTGTAATCTATCATCTAAGAGTGCATCATTAAGAAAAGAAGATAGGGCTTGGGAGATGGCTCAGTTAGTTAAGTGTTTGTCTTGCAGACATGAGGACTGGAGTCAGATCCCAAGAATCCATAGTTTTCAAAGCCAGGCATGGTGACATGCACTTGCAATCCCAGTACCAGAGGGATATGTATTGGGGGTCACTGTACAGCCAGAGTAGCCAAGTTGGCGAGCTCCAGACCAATGAGAGACTGACTCAACAAACAGGATGATGGTATCCTGAGGTTGTCTTCTGACTTCCACATGCACCCCCCAACACACATGCACACACACATTCACATGACTATATAGGAATACATACATGAGTACACAGGAACACACATGCACACATGCATGAATACACAGGATCACACATATCCACATGACTATATAAGAATACACACATGAATACACAGCAACATACACAGATACACATAAACACACATGCATACTCCACACGAACACACATGCACACACACACATGACTAATAGGAATACATACACGAATACACAGGAACACACATAACAAGAGGGTTGTTCTTAGAACCAGGCAGGTGCCATGTGCTCTGAGCCTGATGTAAGACCTGGGAGGCGCTGAGGTATGCCCCTCATCCTGCCTTGCCACCTCAGTGGGTTCCTAAGGTACACAGCCCTCAATCCCTCCTAAGGTTCCATTTTGGCTCATGCACTTGGGAGTGGTCAGGGGACTCTGCTGGGGGCCTTGGGTTAATGGTTAAGCTGTTGATTCTCTTGGGTAGAGGTTAATGTTTAAAAGCTAGACAAATTACAGGAAATGCCATTCATGGAGTATCATCAAGCCTGGAATACTTACCACAAATAAAAAATTAACTCTCCAGCTCTTTTGAGTTAGGTGACCAAGTCCACTCTGTGGGAATATCTCAGGGTCATGACCCTGGTCATCACTCTCTTGGGGTGTTTATTAGTTGGCTTACAGAAGCCATCACCCTCTCAGAGCGGGCAGGGCGACGTTGACAGCTCTCCCTACAAGAAGAATGTTCCAGAAGGATAGTGTGGTGGCCAGATATTTGTAGATTCTGTGGTTATAACAGACCTGGGTATCCATCAAGCTTTGTCACATAGGGCCTCCAGCTGTGTGACCTCCGGCTGCACCTCTCTGGACCTTGGTACTCTGTGCTTTCCTTCAAGTGGGGCATGCCAGCCGATTTCTTCTAGTCTCTACCAGCGGGTTGATCTCCCCCAGCCTGATTAGGAAGGCATGGGACCTTTTGCACTCTTGTGCTTTTCTATCAAGATGAAATTCATATTAAATCAACACCTTGGAGGTTTACAGTCCCCTACCATTGGTCATACTATGCAACCACTTGTATCAAGTTCTAAAATGTTCTCCTCAGATGCAGAGGAACTGTGCCCCACCCCCCGCCCCGCTGACCTCCATCAGCAGGTTCAGGGCCCCAGAGGAGGGCTGCTCCAACTCCTATGTCTTACGCTCCAGAAATAGTCCCAGGTTATCATCAGGCCATCTGTGCTGATTTATAAATAAGCCAGGGACTGAAGGGTGGCCCTTGTGGGTCAGTGCAGGAAAAAGTGAAAGTCGGTAGAGGGCTGGCTCTCTGTGATCCTGCTGGCTGGGGCCCTGAAGATCCCCAAGGTCCCATTCTGTCTTCCAGCTTGACCTTCCTCCTTTTCCCAGTCCAGCTTCATCCTAGACCTGCCTCTGGGGCCGTCTCTAGGCAAGACACAGGCACACATGGTGCTCGGTGTGCCTGGAGCAGACTCAGGGGCTTCCAAGTCTAGAGGAGCCTATACCCTCCGCTGAGTGGCAACAGACCATTGTCTCTTCACTGTGGCTTTTATTTTAACTCTGTTCTCCTGGAGTAGCTGACACGCAAGTCTTGCTATCTTCTCAAAAACACTTCAAACTTTGCTCTGCATGGGTAGTAGCTAACAGATCCCTGGCCCTGGCCACAGGGCCCTTTTGTGCATGGCTGGGGACGTGCACTCTGCAAGGCTGTCTGTGGTCTTACCTCCATAGCCATTCTCCTCTGAGCCATTCATCACATCAATTGTCTGGCTTTTGAGTGACCTTGTGCCTTTTTCTTTTTCTTCCTCTTCTCCCTCCCTCCCTTCCTCCCTTCCCTTCCTTTTTTATTCCCCCTTCCTTCCCTCTCTCTTCCCTATCCTCTCTTTCATTCTTTATTTCTAGACAGGGTCTCATGTAGCCCAGGCTGGCCTCAAACTCTGGTAGTCAAAGATGACCTTGAACTTCTGATCCTCCTGCCTCCATTCCTGAGTGCTGAAATTATAGGTCTGTACCATTATGTTTGGTTTACATGGTGCTGAGGCTGGAACTCAGGGCTGTATATATGCTAGGCAAGCACTCCCCCCACGAAACTAGAGCACCCTGTTAACTTTTGAAGATACTGTATCATCTTTTGAAGATACAGTAAACCTCTAAAACCAACAAAATATAATATGAAAATTGTTCAAACAAGTACCACCCAAAAACATTGACACCCCATGACACCTGGGCTGTTGGAATAGTCAGTTCCAGAATGTCTGCTATGCACAGCTCAGGCCTGGCATGGTTCCACCCCAGCCTGGGGCCTGGCTGATGTGAAGAGTGTCTCTGAGCCAGCTGGCAGGGACTCCTACCTACCTCAGGCACTCTTACCAGGCCTCAGCCAGTTCTAGGTTGGCTGTTCTATGGCCCTGCCCAACATGACCTCCAGAAGGCTCTCAGACATTCTGACACCTCATTCTGTCTGGCCAGGCAGGCAAGGTCATCTACCACATGGACTGGAGCCTTTGGCCAGTGCCCTGGTGGCTTGGCCAGTCCCAGCCATCTCTGAGTCCTTCTTCTCAGGTGACTAATAGACTCTAGAAGCAGTCACCTGCCTCTAATACTGGAGAAGCCACCAAGTAGATGAGGAGGTTGCATCCTGCAGCCACAGAGAAACATGTGCTTAAAGAAGGGGACACACATCCCTCTTTGGCCTCTTGGGACTCCGGAGACTGGAAATAGAGAGTAACATCTTTGGGAAAGGATCCAGCCAGGATAAAATCATACCCATTATATTATTTTTCTCATCGCTGTGACAAAAGCAGCTAAAAAGGAAGGTTGACTTTGGTCCATAGTTTGAGGGTACAGTTCATCGTGTCAGGGTTGCCACAGCATCAGGGGCTTGAGGTAGCTGCTCACATTGCATCCACAGTCAGGAAGCAGAGAGATGAATTACATACTCAGCTCGCTTTTCCTTTTTTGTTTCTCCCCAGCCTGTGAGATGGTGATGCTCACATTCAAGGTGGCTCCTCCCCACTTCTATTAACACAACCTAGAAACTCCCGTAGAGACATGCCCAGAGGTTTATCTCCCATGTGATTATAGATCCTGTCAAGTTGACAGTGAACATTGACTCTCACAACCAGGGATACCTGGGAAGATCCTTCTCAGACTGGGAGAGAACATCTAAGGCTGGCTGATGGAAGATCAATCAGTCTCTGGGATGGTGGGACAGATATTCTGTAGCAATTCCAAAATAGAAATGTGAAGGGTTTCCCACCTGCCAGGCTCACTGTGAGACTCTGTGGGAAGATTTAGATGCATTCAAGGGTTGCTCACCTTCTGGGTTCCTTGAAGGACCAACACCTATTCCTTGGTCTTGTAGATGCATTTGCTGGACCACGGGAAACTAAATGTATTATTTCTTGTTGCCTTGACAAAACACCTGACATAAAGAATCCAAGAGATGAGCTATTCATTTTATTTACGGTTTCTGGGAGTTCAATCTACAGTCCTTGGCCCTACTGAGTTTAGGCATGTGGTGAGGCAGAAGGTCATGGTGTTAAGAACATTTTCAAGAAAATTTTCAAGAACATTTTCAAGAAAACCTTCACAGACTGCCTCCTAGTGACCTACTCCCTTCAGCTAAGCCCCACTCAAAAAGTTTCCAGAATCTTCCAGAACAGTGCCACCTGCTGGGGACCAACTGATTAGCATATGAGCCAATAGGGGACATTTCTATTCGTATCAAGACGCTCAGATCTGGGATATGGCTCAGTTAATAACCTAACATGCATGAATCCCTGGCTTCTATCCCCAGCTATTTGTAAACTAGGCACGGTGTGGCACTTGTTATGATTGGCTTTTGCTGTTAACTTGACTCAAGCTAAACTCACTTGAGAAGAGAACCTCAACATGGGAGTCTACTATTGTCTTAATTGAGTTAATAGGTGTGGGAAGACCTAGCTCACTGTGAGTAGTACCATTCCCTACACAGGGGTCCCAAACTGTATAAAAGTGGAGAAATTCAGCTGGGAATGAGCAAGAAAGGAGGCAAACATGCAATCATTCATTTCTCTTTGTTCTTGATATAGGTATGATGTGACTAACTGCTTCAAATTCCTGCCACTCTGATTTAACCTAGAAGTTTAATAGACCCTTTCTCCCCTAAATTACTTTTGGTTATAATGTTGCATCATAGCAACTGAAATGAAATAGGTCAGTGGACCAATCTGTAATCTTAGGACTCAGGAGATGGAGTTAGGAGGATCAGGAATTCAAAACCAGCCTGTGATACATAGCAAGTTCAAGGTTGTTGTGGGAAACTCGAGAGCTAGGGGGAAGAAGGGGAGGGGGCTGGAGTAGGCAATGTTCAAAATCAGTCCAACTATGCTATGTGTCCTCATGACATCATTATCCCTTCTCAGTGCAGTCTCCATGGTAATCTGCCCCATCACAGAGCCTTTGCCCCTTACTTCACATCAGAAGCATCTGGAAGCATGTCCAGTACACAGTTCCCTGGGTTTGGGCCTACAGGATTTTAATTCAGTCATTGGGAGGTCAGACCCAGAAACCTGCATCTTTGGGGGGAGGAGGTTTGAAACCTGCATCTTATAAATTCCCCAGAGAAGCAGTTCTGTATGTATCAGGACTTTGGAGAATCTTCTCAGTCTTTCCATCTTCCCTGATATTCAGGTCTAGAGTACCCCAGCTTCCAGCACACAGTGACAAAGGCAGTCATTGACTTAGCTTCCAAACACTGTTATCCACCAAGCAGAGGGTCCCCAAGAGCAGAAGCCTATCTGGTGGTCCACAGCTGGAGTCCTTGGGCCTTCTGTGGGCCTGGCATAGTGAAGGTACTCAATATGTGCCCAATGAACTGGTGGACAGACCAATGCTGGCACAGTCTCCTCTGCAAATAGACTTGTCCTTGACATCTCTGTAACTTCTCAGCTCCATGTTTTCATACAGGCCTTCCATTCTCTCTGTTTGTGGGGGGAACCCAAGGCATCTGATTCAACCCCCACTTTACAGTGAAGCAGAAGCCATGAAGTACAGCGAGGAGAGGTGGTTTACTGAGTTGGCACAGTCAGGAAACACAGAGGCAAGCTGTGTCTGCCTACCTCAACATTCAGTGCCATTTCGTAGTCTCTAACCACCTGACCTGTCTTGAGGCATTAGTTAACTCCAGGCAGGCTCAGGGGTCAGTATGAAGAGGCAAGGGTGTGTGTGTGTGTGTGTGTGTGTGTGTGTGTGTGCAGAGAACACAAGAGATGGGCCTGGCCTAGATGAATGGGGTCAGCAGAGTGTACAGAGGTCTGGGGAGGTAAGAAGTTAAGTGTGGTGATATCTTGTTTGTACAAATAAAGCCCGTCTGAAGGTTAGAGAATGGAGCTTTCCACTAGCTAACCATAGGGGTCTGGAGGCCTGTACAGACAGGAAGTGAGGTGGTGATACATAGATTAATAGAAATGGGTTAACAATTAAGAGAGAGCTAGCAAAAAAGCCTGAGCCATCAGCCAAACAGTTTATAATTAATATAATTCTCTGTGTGTCCATTTGGGACTAAATGGCTGTGGGACTGGGTGGGACAGAAACTTCTGTTTACAGGTAAGTCATATACGGTGTGTTTCTGCCTTGTTAGTAGCACCAGTACTTAGTGGGCCTGGGAGAGGCTTTGGAGATGGGGTGAAGGACAGAGTAGGCTACAGCCCAGGACAAGGATAGTGGGAGTCTAGACGAGAGTGACCCTAAGAAGCCCCTTACTTAGATGATATTGCTTTTGCTTTGTCTTCCAAAAATAGAATTTTATACAGCCTCAGTCTTACTATGGTGTTGAGGATGACCTTGAACCTTTGATTCTCCTGCCTCCTCCCTACTGGGTTTATAAGCATGTGCTACCACACCCAGCTTATGTGGTGCTGGGGACCAAACCCAAGGCTCTCGTGCATGCTAGGCAAGTGCTCCAGCAACTGAGTCACACCCCAGCCCTGGTGTTAGAAGCTGAGTAGGAAGTGTTTAAATGTTAATCACTTGGCCTCTGGTTGGTGGTGCTATTTTGAAGGATTCTAGAAACTAGAAGGAACCAGAGCTGAAGAAATATCTCAGAGGCATAGCACTTGCCCAGTGCACACAAGACCCTGATTTCCATCCATGCCTCAACCCTGGAAAGGTGGAGTCCAAGAGTCAGTGCATACTGGGAACTGGGTTTGAAAAGGGTGGTGATGGTAGGCAGCCTTGGTCCATGCTTCATCCTAATGCACTGCTGGCCTCTTCTCTGCAGGTTGTGAGGGGCTGTGGGACAACATGAGCTGCTGGCCCTCCTCGGCACTGGCACAGACGATGGAAATACAATGTCCAAAGTTCCTCCAGATGCTCACGGGCAGAAACGGTAACCATTCAGCACCAAGGGCCCTGACCAGAGGTAGAAACGGCTCCTGGGTGAGAACTCAGGTGCCAGAGATCTCTGAGAACAAGCAGTGAGTGAGATGATAAGGGGAAATCTCTAGAGACTGGAATCCTTGCCTGGATGTGTGAGAGCCTAACTTTTAGGATCCCGGGAAGGAACCAGGAAACAATGTGTTTAGGGAAGTATGAAGAAGACTGAGACCAGTGAGATGGCTCAGCATGCTAAAGGTGCTTGCCACCAAGTCTGTTGATCAGAGTTTGGTCCCCGTGACCCACATACTGGAAGAAGAGAACTGACTCCCATAAGTTGTTCTCTGATGGCCACATGGGTATTCAAAAAATAACGTAATTTTTTTAAAAAAAAAGAGGAGGAGGATTGCAAGAGGAAAAGGAGGAAGGGAAGAGGAGGAAAAGGAGGCTGCAGCAGCGAAGATATGCCTCATGGCCCCAGTTTAGGAACCTTCTCCCTTTCTTCCATGTTTCTGTTCCCTCAGCAACCAGCCATCTTGTTTCAGATACCCCACAGTGCCAGCCTCTGAAGCAGACTGCCTCTAGAACACTCGCTTTCTGTGCCCGTTATCCTGGGCCTTGCTGGTGACTGGAGGTGCCCCTGGGTGCCCTGGCTTCCTGGAGGAAGCCTTACCTGAGTACATCTGCTTCCATCTGTGATGCTTATGGGCACTCATTCCCATGCCCAGCTGTCATGGGTGCTGGGATCCAAACCTGGCTGCTCATGCTTGCGCAGCAAGCTCTTTACCCACCGGCCTCTCCCCAGCCCTGGGAGTCAATTGTAAATATCTTCCTTTGTACCTTCTCCCTCCCTTCTCTTCCACCCCTCATATTTTCTTCACGAACCTCCAAAGCTCCACCCTAGGCCCTTTCCCCATCATGCTCACACCTTCAATCTTACCAACGCTCTTTCCTCCTGGCAAGACCCCTCATGTCAGACACTTGGGTCCTTGAGGCTCAGGACTCAGGCCATTCATGCATCCTTGGTTGGCTTGGAGCAATGTGCTGGTCCTAACATCCAGGTACCATCCATGGCTGGTAGAGTTCCTGTTGAAAAGGACTTGTGGCTCTCCTCTCTACCAGCCATCCCCTCAAAGCCTTCTCAGAACTGGTTCACCTATTCCTCTGTGGCGTGCCTAGGAAGAGCCACTGCCTGCGGCCACAGAGGTGACCAGAGGCTTGCCTGATCACATCCCTCCCCAGTTGACTGCGTGAACTCCTGCCCACCTCATTAACTAGAAGACCTCTGAATTGTTAGTGATTCACTGCCAAGTCTGCTTTCTTCTGCTGCAGCTTCACCTACCTACCACATGGTGTCACTGTGGGGCTGCAGGTTTACCCTGAGGCCCTGCTTTCTAGGTGCTGACCTGGCTCCTGGGCTGGTGGCAGGGTGAGCTCACTGGGTCATATCTCAGGGCTGGCCCAAGAGCATAGGTCAGGACCTGTCTGGGCCTGCTAGTCACCCATAGCTCTATCTTGGATCTGACTGGACATTTGCCCTCTGGCCCTCCAGAGAGGAAGTCTCCCCACAGTGTGTCCCCAATCTCAGAGATATATGCTCATGGATACTAGTCAGTGTTCAGGGCAGCTTCCTTTTGAACAAGGAAAATATGTTCTAGAGTTAATTCCTAAGAAGTTGTTTGCCACAACAGTCTCCATATTGGTTCAGACAGGCTTCTGAGTGACTGGAAAAACTGCAGGCCTTTTTCTGCCCCAGATAGTTCTCATGCCAGGCCTAGAATCTTCCTTCAAGGAGACATTCCTTTGATTCTTAAAACAGCACTGGCATTTTCAAAGTTCCTTGTTTAAAATGTATTCATCGGGATGTGATCCCACAGGCCTGTAATCCCAGCCTCCTCTGAGACTGAGGCAGGAAGACCCCAAGTTTGAGGCCTTTATGAACAACTCAGTGAGACTCTGTCTCAAAACAGAGAGTAAAAGAAGGGACTAGGGGGATGACTCCGTTGGTAAAGTGCTTGCTGCATAAACAGGAGAACATGATCCCTACCATCCAGGGAAAAGTTGGGCACAGAGGTGCACACCTGTAACCCCAGTGCTGGGGAGGCAGAGGCAGTGAGATCTGGAGTTTGCTGACCAATCAGGCTAGAATAGTAGGTGAGCCCAGGTTCAGTGAGAAACCTTGTCTCAAAAAAATAAGGCAAAGAGTGGTCAAGGATGCTACTTTATGTCAACATCTGGCCTCTCTGTACACACATACATACGCACACATAAAAGCACATATACACATGTACATGCATATGAATGTACACACACAAATCATGTACATACATGCATGTACATGTACACATACATAAAAGCATGTACACACACATGCATGTATGCATGTGTGCATGTGTGCATGTACATACACACACACACACACACACACACACACACACACACACGCACACACACACGCAAAGTCAAAAAGGATTAGAGATATTTTAGTGAGAAAGCTCTTGCCTAGAAATCCCCAGGCCCTAGGTTCAAGCCCCAATCTCCCTCTCTCCCTCTGTCCTCCCCCCACATATACACACTCACACACACACACGAGTTTCTGGGTTGGATCAGGTGCTGGTCCAGCCTTTTATGTAGGATCCCAGGGCTTGAGAATCAAAGGGAGCTTTGAACAGGTTCTCCCCTGGCCTGCAATACATGCACACACAGACATGCAAACTTAAACCTTTAATCCCAGCACTCGAGAGGCAGAGGCAGGCAGATCTCTGTGAGTTCGAGGCCAGCCTGGTCTACAGAGCGAGTGCCAGGATAGGCTCCAAAGCTACACAGAGAAACCCTGTCTCAAAAAACAAAATAAATTAAATAAATAAATAAACAAACCCTGGAGGAAATAAGTGGAGTTGAAGGCACAGAGGGCCCATCCTTTTGCCGTCCTATAGGGAGCTTCATCAGCACCACACAGTTTGTCAAAGGTTCAGGAACAAAGCTGAATCACAGTCAGATATCTTGGGAATGCTACTGGGTCTCTGAGGATAAAGGGCCCTAGACAGTCAGACAGCTGTGCTGTGCTGGGCCCATAGAGAGTCACCATCTTGGCATGGGCCTATACCCTTTAACACGGGAGCTGTGTGTTTCTAACCAGTCAGCCCACATTTGACAACATCCTTTCCTGACCCACAACCTTGCTCCCTGACTTCATTCAAAAGCTCTATTGCCCCTCCCTTGAATGCTGAGACTCTACAGCCTGCTGTTACATGAGATTCTAGGCCTGGCTGGGTCCCATTACCCTTGAGCCACAAAGACTTATATTAATTGTGAAACTGTTGACCAAAAACTAGGGCTTCTTATTGGCTAGCTCTGTCTTAATTATTAACCCATTTCTATCAATCTAGCATTGCCACGAGGTTGTGGCTTATCTGGTAATGCCCCGGCATGGTATTACTCCTCTGGCAGCATTGCGACTCTGTGTGGCCAACCCACTCTGCCTACCTTTCCCAGAATTCTCCTTGTCTCCTAGACCCCGCCCCCCATCTTCCTGCCTCATTGGCTGAACAGTGTTTTATTCATTAACCAATAAGAGAAACATATATACAGGAGGACATCCCCATCACCCTGCCCATGCCTACCTCTTGTAGGAAGGCCACTTCTGGCTGGCACCAGCCTGGATACTTTCTTTGTGACAAACTGCACTCTCACTATGGTGAGAATGATTTATTGTAGAGTCACATTAAGACCAAGAAACTGCACTGTGATTCGGCTCATTCTAGGCTGGTGGTTCATGCCTCCTGAACCTTGACAGGTTGGACATGTCTAGGGCCCTAAAGACATGGCCTTCTGAGACTAGACACCACTGTGGGACCACAGGGAGTGCTCCTGATGGGAGAGGGCTACTGAAGGGACATACCCTGGGTGTGCACTGCTTTCCAATAGTCTGTCACTGGGCTGTGGGATGACACACAAGTCTGTGGAGGAGTTTAGGACAAGACTGGCCTGAGCAAAGCTGACAGTGTTTCTCCAGCTCAGTGGAACCGGTTGCACCCCAAACCACGAACAGTGGCTAGGCCCTTGGGTCACTAGGAGAGACCAAGCCAGGCCAGGCAAGGCTTGTTAAGGGGCCACTGGACAGGACTCTCATCCACAGAACTTGGTGAGAGCATCCTCAGTGTGTGAAGGACATGGGTCCTTGGTACATGGGTCAGTTGGTCATTCAGAACAAAGAGGGAACTTCTAGAAACTGCGGGAGGCCTTCTTGACAAGTAGCTCCTGGCCAGTGGCTCCTCCCTGGCCAGTGGTTCCTCCCTGGTCAGTGACTCCTCCCTGGCCAGTGGCTCCTCCCTGGCCAGTAGTTCCTCCCCAGTCAGTGGCTCCTCTCTGGTCAGTGGCTCCTCCCCAGTCAGTGGCTACTTCCCAGTCAGTGACTCCTTCCCGACCAGTGGCTCCTCCCTGGTCAGTGGTTCCTCCCTGGCCAGTAACTCCTCCCTGGCCAGTGGCTCCTCCCTGGTCAGTGGCTCCTCCCTGGTCAGTGGCTCCTCCCTGGTCAGTGGCTCCTCTTTGGTCAGTGGCTCCTCCCTGGTCAGTGGCTGCTCCCTGGCCAGTGACTCCTTCCCAGTCAGTGGCTCCTTCCATTTGTCTTTGGATCCTGACTTTGAATGGTCAGGTGGGGGACAGGGATGGATAGATATTATAATGTGTACCTAGCATGCAACAGGTCCTGGTGAGATCCCCAGAGCCATACATGTGCACATCCACAAGCACATGCATGCATCCCCACAGTGAGAAATTCTCCCCTCATAGTGTACCCCATGCAGTAGGAAACTCAACCCTGTTCTCTACAAAAAGAGCTCACACAGGTCTGTCGACCTCATTCCTTACTCTGCCTGTGCACACGCTGACTAGGGGCCACAATTTCAGTTCCAAGAAACCATTACCCATGTATTCAATGGGGTCAGCCTGCAGCCTTGTGCAAGGCAAGGATGCAGGGCAAATACAGTTGCAGCTATCCCAACAGGCAGCCTCAACGTTATAGCTAAAGGAATAATAACCCAATTCCTTCCACAAGGAGCAGCTGTCTGACAGGATTCACCTCAGTGGCCTTTGATGGTTTCCATTTGGTGAGATGAGCAGGACACAGTGGACAAGCATGAAGACCTGGACTGATCCCCCAGAGCCCATGTAAAATGCATCAGCATCAGGAAGGCAGAGACAGGGGCATCTCTGGGACCACTAATCAGTTGTATTAGTCTAATTTGCAAGTTCCAAGCCAGTAGGAAACTCAACCCTGTTCTCTACAAAAAGAGCTCACACAGGTCTGTCGACCTCAAAATGCCAAGGTGGATGGCATCTGAGGAATGGGACCCAAGATTGACCTCTGACGTAGACACACACACACACACACACACACACACACACACGGGTAGGGGGGCACACAGAGACAGGGAGACAGAGAAAGAGGGAGGGAGGGAGAGAGAGAGGAAAGGAAGTAGAGAGAGAAAACTGTGAGAGCCCAAGGTTTCATTGTAACAGAAGCCAAGTCTTCACCATCCACCCTGATGTTTCAGAACCCACCTATTATAGCAGCAGAACTGGGGTGGGAGTAAGAAAGGGGATTCATACCTGATGTCAAGGGCCCTACAGATCCAACCCTCATTCTCCATTTATTGAGATAATGATGTGGGCAGTTATATCACCACTGCATGCTTCAATTTGCCCACCTCTACAATGATGGCAATATTTTGGTGTTACCAGAGATTTTACTATAATGATTTCATTGCCTGATCCCCACTACTCATCTGCTGTATACTTGTCACCCTCAGGGTCTCTGTTCAGGAACTGCACACAGGATGGCTGGTCAGAAACTTTCCCCAGGCCTGACCTGGCTTGTGGGGTCAACATGAATGACTCCTCTAACGAGAAACGGGTAAGCCTGTCCGTGCCCCTGAGATGGGTGAATGCAGGATGAGGTCTCAGAGAGGACCTGGGTGCCAGGATTGTAAGCAGCACCATCGTGTCTAGTTCATAGGGTATGGAGGATGGAGCTGGGGCTCTGTGCACACTGGACAAGCAGCACTCAACTGGCAAGCCACATACCTGCTGAAGCTTAGTTCTTTTTGTTAAAACCCCCTTCCACCCACTGATGATGACATGTTCAGCTTGGCTTTCTCTTCTTTCTTTTTTTTTTTTCAATCCCTTTCTAGGCATGTGTCATTAGAGTATTGACAAATGTCAGTAATGGACTTAGACTGATAGAAAGACCAGGTACAGTTGCCCCTTAAGCATCTACAATGTCTAGGGCACCTACTTAGAACAAAGATTGCCAGACTGTGGCCTTGGGCCATGACCAGCCTTTGCAAATGAAATTTTGTTGGGACATAGCCAAATCCATTAGCTCCACAAGTCTGCTTCTGTGTGACAGGGATGGGGCTGGGTAGTTTTGAGAGACTGTGTGGCACTTTGAGCCTAAAATATTTACTGTCTGTCTCTTAATAGGGAATTCTTGCTGTCAGCTGAGTTGAGGGGACAGCAAACAGGTGGCACTGCCAGGCTCCGAGGCAGAGACACTCAGTTTGACCCAGGACAGAGAGCAGGAGTGTTCCTGGACTCTGAGCCCTTGAGGGGCAATGCACAGCTGCAGATGTTAAAAGCTGAGGGAACAAGGGTCACTTGAGAACTCCTGGGAATCAGGGTCATGCTGAGGTTCAGACCTCACTGACATGAAATCAGGGCTGAAGGTCACTTGGTACTGACTAGGACAAATTATTCTGCTGGGACTCTTCACACAGTTAACCTGTGCCTTCTTGGGCTCCATGAATGGGTGGAGGCATCACTAGACCAGACTGCCACCATCAGTGGTGTGGGCCTCCCTGGACCAATTTTCAAGTTAAAGGAAAGAGCAGGGTGTAGTGGTTAAGAGCATGAGTTAGGAGCTGGGATTGCACACCAACAGGTTGATCCAAGAACTTGTGAAATTCCACAGATCTCTTTCTTTCCTTACTTTTTAAAAAGCAGCCTCATATAGCCCCAGGCTGGCCTCAACCTCCCTAAACAGCCCAGAATGACCTAGTACTCCTGTTCTTCCTGCCTCCGCCTTTAAAGTCCTGGAATTCAGGCATGCTACACCATGCCTGATGCAAGTGGTGCTAAGACTCAACTCAGAGCTTTTAACCTGCTAGGCAAGCATTCTATTAACTCTTTGTCATCTTAGGAAAGGGGCACTCTACCCCTACTGAACTAACCATTTTGTTTCCCCAGCGCTCCCAAACTGCTCCCAGTCACAAGCATTCCACTTTATCTTATTTTGTTTTATTAGGAAGGATCTCATGTGGCCCAGGCTGGCCTCAAACTCTTTATGTAGCTGAGGTGACCGTGAACATCTGGTCTCCTGCCTTTGCCTCCCACATGTTGGATGACAGGTGTGTGCCACCATGCCCAGTTAATATGGCTGGAGCTGAGCCACATCCCTGCCCTACACGATTCTTTGGTGTCCCAGACTCTAGGGAACATTAATCTATGACAACTCATCACCCTTCACAGCTCTTCTCTTCACCCCTGAGGGGTGGCCTTTGGCTGCAGGGACAGTTGCTGAAGGAGGGAGGCTCTACCTCACATAGTTGTCATCATGCTGAGGGTCATCTGATGCTAAACTGTCCTTGCTTATTCTGAGTGGAAGTCTCCATACTTTCTTAAGGTTTCCTCCACTGAACCTTACACTGGGAGTCTCGTCGTCGTCGTCATCATCATCATTAATTTTGTCAGTCATTCTGATATTTCCCCCTGATTTGTCATCACTCTCCTGCCCAGCCCACCTGGCTCTTCCTGTGCATTTCAGATGATGCACCCAGAGTCATTAAGGTGCCTCCTAAAATAACACACTTGCACTCATGACAACCCAGTGACATGGCCACCTGTTGAGAGCATTCTACTGGTGAAAGAGAAAAGAAGCCCATTTTTATTTTTGGAGGCTCACTCATACCTCAGAGTTCCTGCCATCTCACCCTGCTGACTCACGCTGGGGAAGTGCCACATGCTGAGTGGCTTCTGAATGCCAGGCATTGTAGACACAACCCATCTGTCAGCTTCTTCCTGTTTTCAGCAAGCCTGCAAGGGAGAAAAAAATGATTCCCATTTTGTAGATGAAGAATGAAGCTCGGAGAAGTTAAGTAATTTACTCAGGGTTGCCCAGCAGGTGAGTAACAGACTGGCCTTCTTGAGTTTGGAAGCTTGTCTTGTTTCCTCTCCTGTCTGCTCTGTGACACTGTGGACACAGTGTGGGCCATTCCAATCCTAAAGCCATCACTGTGCGGTCAGCAAGGTTCCCTCTGTACAGTTCTTGTGCCTTAAAACCGTTAATTCCCCTTAGCAACTGTAGAAAATGCCAGGATAGAAAAAGATGAAAGGAAACTACAACTCTGCTCAGAACCACAAAACCAAGGTCAGTTACTTGCTGAAACTTGATGAGCCTCCTTACCACGTGGCACGTCTCCCTACCATATTTTTAAGAAGTTTTTATTATGGGGGCGGGTGTTGGCACCTGCTTCACGACTCAGAAGACCAGAAGACAACTTGCTATAATCAGTTCTCTCCTGTTATATGGAACCAAGGACTGAACTTGTGCCATCAAGTTTGTCTGCAAGTGTCTTTACTTGAGCAACCCTTCCAGGCTACCACAAGCTTGTTTTTAATGAAGATAAGGAATTGAACCCCACAGATTGGCTGATATCCTTCTTTGTTTTCTGCAACAAGATCTTGTGTACCATAGGCTAGCCTCAAACTCAATATGTTACATGGCGCCATAGATTTTTGAAATGTGATTATAAGATCATTCCAGTACTCAGGAGGCAGAGGCAGGCAAATCTCTGTGAGTTCGAGGCCAGCCTGGTCTGCAGAGCAAGTTCCAGGACAGGTTCCAACGCTACATAGAGAAACCCTGTCTTGAAAAACAAAAGCAAACAAACAACCCTCCCCAACACAACAGCAAAATGATCCAATCACGGGATATATAAGTACAGGTCCCAGGCAACAACCCCAGTACGTGATAGTCAATTAGAAAAATGTTTTGCACAGAGCAAATTTCAGTAGCTTACTTTATTCCTTTTTTTAAAAAAATCAGGATTTCATGTAGTCATTTATGGCTTTCATCTCTGTGTGGCTGGGAAGAACCATGAACTTTTGATCTTTCAATTTCTTCCTGCTTATGCACCCACTACACCCACTTTATGAAGTGCTGGGATCACAGTTGTGCTCACCCTGCCAGCTATATGAAGTGCTGGGAATGGAAGCCAGTGCTTCTCAAATGCTAGACAAGCAGTTTACAAACTGAGCCCCAGTCCCAGCTACCCAATTACATTGATCACAAAAAAGTCCATCTATTGTAATTCAACCCTTCTTTACATATAGCTGAAATCACACAGTACACTAAGTTTATCGTCTGCCTTTATGTATTATGACACACTATGAATAGGCCCTGACTTCTTTAAAATCTCACCAGAAGCATTACTTTGGCCCTGGAAGAACATTAAAGATATGAAGGTTTAAGATATCGTACTAGGCTATTCTACTGTTGGATGCTGGAAGTTTTTCATCACAGTAGTTCCATAATAAAGACCTTTACAGGACCAACACGGTGGATAAAGGGGCTTATCCCAAGCTTGATGATGCTCACACAGAAAAAAATAAGTGTAATCTTAAAAATGTCTTTATAAACATTTTTTTCTGATGATTGTTGTGCCTCAGTGTCCCCATGACAGTGGTTCTGGGAAACCTGTGTATATCCCAATCTGAAGATACTCAAATCTCTTACAAAAAATTGCATACTATTTGCGCATCACGTATTTACATGCTTCTGTATACTTGAAGTCACCACTAGAGGGGACTTACAGTGCTGAACGTGCTGGGGGTGCCCCAGAAACAGTGGCAATGCAGTCTCTAGGGAATGAGGACGGGGACCAATGTCTGTACATGCTCAGGACAGAAACAGGTTTATTGTTTATTTTTTGCACTTACTGATTTATTCTGTGTTGGGGGCATGTGCTATGGCACACGTATAGAGGTCAGAGGACAACTTACAACTTGGTTCTCTCCTTCCACTATGTGGGTCCCAGGGATAGAATTCAGAACATAAACCTTGGTATCAAGTGCCTTTATCCCCTAAGCCACCTCACCGGCCCAGAAACAGCTCCCCGACCCCAATATTCCAAAATAGAGGTTCATTTGAGTATGTAGACACAGACCCTGTGACTGTGGAGGGCTGACTCAGTTTCTTTGAATTAACTCCTAGAGAGCCGGGCTGTGGTTCTGTTAGTAGACTGCTTTTCTAGCACTCAGGAAGCCCTGGCTTCCATCCCTGGCACTGTGAAAACCTGGCAGGGTGGCACACACAACTCGGGAGGTGGCCATGAGAAGACTTGTAGGTCAAGGTTGTCATAAGCCACACAGCATATCTGAAGCCAGCCTGGGCTACGTGAGAGACTGTCACGTAGAAGGGAGGTCAGAAGGAACACTCATCTCCAAGGCCCTCAGCACGTATCTCCACGTTCTTCTCCTGAAAACTGAACCAGTTTTCACTCCCACTGTACCCTCACCTGGACAGGGTATTTTAATTTTAAATATCTGCCAATTTGCTTGTTAATATTACCACTGTTTTAATGTTCATTTCCTCAACCCACCTTAAGACCTGAGCCTAAATGCAGGGTTTTTGTTTTTGTTTGGTTCAGTATTCCTTTCTATTGCAATATTTTTGCATCAGTGTGAAGTGGCTGGTGAACAAGTAAAGGTCTGTCTGGTCACACCACTAATAGTCTGGTCACACTAATAGTCTGGTCACACCACTAATAGTGTATGGTGTAGGCTGGAGTGATGCTCCTCTGCTTCTTCCTTGTCTGGGCTGCACAGTAAAGTGCTTATCTTTGTCATTAAGAGATATTTATTTTTATCTATATGTATTATATGTATATGCGCATATGTGTAGGTATCGGAATAGCAGCCAAGGTCGTCGGGACCAGTGCTGCCTCAAGCTGGTGCTCTGGGACACAGAAGGGCCGGCTCCAGCCGGATGGCAGGTAGGGCTGACCTGTGCCTCTTTTTGCAGCATGCATACCTGCTGAAGCTCAAGGTCATGTACACTGTAGGCTACAGTTCCTCCTTGGCCATGCTCCTGATTGCCCTCAGCATCCTGGTCTCTTTCCGGTGAGAACAGACTGCCCACTCTCCAGTCTCCCAGCCCTCCAGGACACAGTTCTCAAGTGTTCCTAATGACTCTGGATGGAAAGAGGGAGGACTGGGTGGGCTGCCTGGCCATCTTATGAAGCTCAGGGCAACTATAAATGTGGCTCAACACAAAGCTGGAAACTTAAAACAAAAGAATAGTAAATTCGGCCAGGCGTTGGTGGCGCACGCCTTTAATCCCAGCACTCTGGAGGCAGAGGCAGGCGGATCTCTGTGAGTTCGAGACCAGCCTGGTCTCTAGAGTGAGTGCCAGGACAGGCTCCAAAGCTACACAGAGAAACCCTGTCTCAAAAAACAAAACAAAAAAAAGGTAAATTCTGCAGCTACAATGTGCTGTTACAATGTCATACAAAATCAATGTATGTAAATACATATATGCCCTCCAATCCAGAGGGCTGTAATTGGACAGCCCTGGATTTAATGTGCATTGCAAGACAATTTTTTTGTCCAGTTCAGTCCAGAGAAGCTAAAAGGTTGGACACCCCCTATTTAAGCTTCCTCAAAGGACTAGGGGTGTGGCTCAGTTGGTAGAGTGCGTGACTAGCAAGCTCAAGGTCCTGAGTTCAATCCCCTGCTCTACATAAACTGGCATGGTGACATATACCTGAGGCCACCCCCAGGTGGAGGTGGGAGGATCAGAAGTTCATAGTCATAGTTGACTATATAAACAATTGGAAGCCAGAATGGCTGCGTAAGATCCTATCTCAAAATAAAATAATGGTAAGGAGGACCAGCGACAAACTTCCAGTCCCTAGAACACAGGAGAAAATTTGGTGGAAGCTGGAGGTGGTGGTTGATCAGGGCCAGACACGTTACAAAACACGTTTGGCTGTTACAAAACTAGTGATTGCGTTACTCTGTTCTGTTCTGGTCTATTCTATTCTGAGTCATGGTATCACCATGTAGTCCCTACTAGACTAGAACTTGAGATGATCCTTCTGCCTCCACTGCCCAAGTGCCGGAATTACAGGCATGTGCCACTATGCCTGGCTCTCTTTACTTTTGTAACTTCGATACAGTGCAGGGTGCATCAGGAACCTAGGGCCCCATGCCATCATACAGGTCCATTTACATCGAGAGATGGGACCTGAGGGCTGTGGCAGGGTTTTGGTTTCCCCATGCAAGGGGAGGGGCAGGGGCAGGTGGACATGTCAGAGAGCCAGCCCCTCTTTCCATGGCCTTTAGCCCCACATTCTCTCTGACAGGAGGCTGCACTGCACCCGCAACTACATCCACATGCACCTGTTTGTTTCCTTCATCCTGCGTGCCCTGTCCAACTTCGTCAAGGATGCTGTACTCTTCCCCTCAGATGACGTCACCTACTGTGATGCCCATAGGGTAACATGCCTAAGTGTCCTAGACTGACCTTGGCGAGGACCAAGCCCCATAGCTCATTGTCCTCCTCGAAAGCCTCCATTAAGATTACGCAGACGCTCCAGGTAAAAGGTGGTGTTTGGCAGGACATGGAAGTTCCAGGAGGTTCCATAAGGTTCTGCAGCCATGGGGGCACGATGTAAGTCATGTGTATTGGGAATTGGTGGAGGCCGCCTTTAATTCCCGGTGCCCTGGAGTGGACCAGCCACTGTGGGAATTAGAATTGTGGTTAGACTTCTCACGACAATTCCTATAGATAAATGGCGAAGTCTGGGGTAAAACTGCCTGGTTATTGGAGGGAAAAAGCGGGCTCATGCCCAAATGTCTGCATGGCCAGGCCTTCAGAAAGAACACCATTTCGCTAAGTCTGATCCATTTTCTCCCTCTCACTGTCTAGATGCCACTTAAGTCATTGCACTCACTCTGTGTCACCTGGGGTCCCTGACTGCTCACCGTAAGCAGCTCACTGATGAAGAGTCCCTAGTGATCTACAGTCTCTCTCTGTCTGTTTCCCCCGGGTGTAGGCCTTTGACCTCAGGCTTTCACCTCAGGGTTTCGATATGGACACTGCAACTCAAAGTTTCACACCCACATTCTGGGCTAGGAAGAAGGTTGCAGATTAAACATTTTATTTTCATTGTGGGAAACTTGGCTTTTTCATTTATTTCCCAGAAAATGTACACACACACACACACACACACACACACACACACACACACAGACACACACATACAAACACAGAGAGAGAGAGACACACACGCACACAAATACACTCACATACAGGCACATACAAGCACACACAGATACACACACACACACACACACACACACACACACACACACACACTCAGAAGAGGAAAGGCAGTTTTGTTAACTTTGACTTGCACCCCATTCTCTCCCTAGGCTATAGCAGCCTCCTTGAAAAATGAATGTGTTGGTCAGTACTGGGTATTTTCTCTGAAGGAATACAAGTGTTCTCCTCTCCAATGCTCAGGGCCAGTTCACAATTGGAATCCACTTCCTGGTTCTGGCAGTTCCTAGGACATCTTCACTGGGTCTGGAGATGGGCAGTCTAGAGAACACTGTGGGCCTGGTCTCCTGATCAGGGAATGCTTCGGGAGAACCCTTGACTGTGTTCATTCCTGTGTGTATATGTAGCATGAGTTCTAATAGGTCTTAATAATAAAAAGCCCTGAGTCAGATATAGGGTAAAATGCTGAAAGATCAGAGAGACAACAAGGATCAGAGGGAACAATCCACAGCCACCCTTACCTCGCTAACTTCCTAGCAGAAAAGAGACCGAGCTCCTCTCTCCTCCTGCCTAATCACTTCCTCTCTCTGCCTAGCCATATCACTTCCTGTCTGTCTGTACAGACCTCCAGACCTCTATGGTTAGCTAATGGCTAGCTCTGCCCTCTGATCTTCAGGCAAGCTTTATTTGTTAAAGTACAAACAAGATATCACTACATGTATATATGCTTGTGCATGAGTGTGTATGTACATGTGGAGATAAGAGATCAAGCTCAGATATCCTTCCTCAGACTCTGCCTCCTTTATTTTTTGAGGCAGGGTCTGTTATTGGCCTGGAACTCCTTAAGTATGTTAGGTTTACTGGCCAGCGAGCCTAAAGGATCTGCTTGTCTCTACCTCCCTAGTGTTGGGATTGCAAGCATGCATTGCTCTATCTGGCTTTTAAAATGTGGGTTCTGGGAATCAAACTATGGTCCTTGTGCTTGCCCAGCAAACATTTCACCCACTGAGCTATCTCCACAGTCCTGTGGAGGTATTTGTACATCTCAAGTTTCACTCTAGGCCTGCTTCCTGCCTCCTACAGTGTAGTGTTATTTTCTTTGGGAGCAGTTACCCAAGGGAGGCTCAGTTACCCAGCCCAGGCTTACATGCCTGTCTCTTCCAGGTGGGCTGCAAGCTGGTCATGATCTTCTTCCAGTACTGCATCATGGCCAACTATGCGTGGCTGCTGGTAGAGGGCCTCTACCTTCACACACTCCTCGCCATCTCCTTCTTCTCAGAAAGGAAGTGCCTGCAAGTGTTTGTGCTCCTCGGATGGGGTATGTCCATGGGGTGTGTCCATGGTGTTATAGGGTGTGGTTTGCAGGAAAGGATACTCAGTTAAGAGTTGGGAGGATTCAGTTTCTAGTTGCAGCTCCATCCATCCACCCATCAATCCATTCACCAAACCATCTACCATGCACCTACCCAACCATCTACACACCCACTACCCACTCATCTATTTACCTATTCATCCATCTATTCATCTATCCATCCATCCACCAACCCATTTGTCCTTGCATCCATCCATTTATCCATCCATCCAACCTGCACGGTGTGCAGAGAAAGAAACCAGGGATTTAGTATCTAGTCCGAGATCCACACTGAACTAACTTGGGTTCTCTGGCAAGTTGCTGAATGGTTAACCCTCTAACCTCAGGATCCTTGTCTTTCAAATGTGACTAAGAGCTGTAATTGGGCATCCTGAGCTATTTCCAATTTTATTCTGCCCAGCACTTGCCTCATCTTCCAGAGATGATTCATTCTTTGTCCTCTTTATGGGGGACAAAGCCTGGACTCAGGAGACACAGTTCACACAGATGTAGCTGTTTTTTGTTTTTATTCTTTGGGGAGCCACCACCCAGCTCCCAAATAAATACAGGGACTTATTCTTACTTATGAATGCCTGGCAGCCTTAGCTTGGCTTGTTTCTAGCCAGTTTTCTAACTTAAATTATTCTGTGTCTTTTTCAGTACATTTTGCCTTTGGGTAAAAACCTTTCTTTATTGTATATGTTTTTCTTTCCTTCTTACTCCATGCTGGCTTTGTGGCTGGGTGCTGGGAATTGAGCTGAGCTGGATCCTCTAAAAGAGCAGCTAGTACTCTTAACCACTAAGTCCTCTCTCCAGCTCCTTTCCTTCCTTCATGCACTTAATTAATAAGTGTCTTTTCTAGGAATGCCCTCATCTGACTCTTTTGCTTGTCTAAATTTCCACATGCTAGCATCTCAACTCTCCATTAGACCAGAAGGAGGGTGACTGGGCAGACTATCTTTTACTAATTCTTCCAAATCCTCTGGAAAACCCTTCAGTCTTATCTTTGAAATCATTAAATACAATACAAAATCTCTAAGTTCTTATATGTTTGTCAACCTGAATTTTGTGTGTATATATGTGTAGTGTGTGTATGGCTGATGTGTGTAGCATGTGTGTGTTATAATGTGTTGTGTGTGTTTCTGCTGAAGGACCCAGACCCTCACCCAGCACCTGTTTTGGCAGCCATGACATGCCATGGAAAAGTCCCAACAAGACATAGGCCCCTGACTCAGCAGCATGTGCTGAGCCCCCAACCTTGCCGGACCTTGTCCTAATCACTAGGAAGCAACTGCCAGATACCCTCCATGTGGTGAGGAACCAATCAGAAGTTAGTTGGCGGGCTCTGAATGTGCTTTACTGATAATAGTGGAATGCAGGCTTAGCAACTGCCCTGGGAGGGCCTCTAGGCATAGCAACCTTTCTGCAACTCAGAACAGATTCCCCCAGCCAGGAGGTGCACCAATCCTGAGACTGTTGCTATGCAACTAGTGGACCCCCCCCAGACACTCCCCTTGCTCTACCCCAATATATGCCCTGCCCCACTGCTGCTTGGAGTCCCTCCTACTCCATCACTGTGTCGGACGGATAAAGGACCTGAGTTGACTCGTAAATTAAAAAGAATCTTTGCTTTTGCATTGGATCTGGTCTCTTGGTGGTTTGGGGGGTTCAGAGTCTGGGTACAACGGCACATGTATGTAAAGCTAAAGGTTTATGTCAAGTGTCTTCCACTACCACTGTCCATCTTATCTTTTGAGATGGGGTCCCTCCCTGAACCAGCGGACTCATTAGCTAGATTAGAGGGACAGTGAAGTCCAGGGATGCCCCTATATCTGCTTCCCCTCTCTCCTATGCTATTACCATGCCCATCCTTTTTTTAAAGGTACATTTACTTTATTTTATGAGTGTGCATACCTTGTGTCCACAGAGGCCAGAACTGGGCATCAGGTCCCCTGGAACTGGAGTTAGAAACCATTGTGAGCCACATGTGCTCACTGGGAACTGAACCCAGGTCGTCTGCAAGAGTAGTAAATGCTCTTAACTGCTGAGCCATCTCACCAGTTCCCTGTGGGGCTGGGAATACAAACTCAGGTTCACCTGCTTGAATAGGAGCCTTTTTAGTGACTGAGCCCCTCTCTCGAGCCATGTATATCTAAGATTTTTTGAAAAGCAATTAGTCAGAGAGAAATGTTACCTAAAGACTGGTTTCAAAAATGCCAGAGTTAGAGAAGTATCTCAATGGTCCTGCCTCGCATTCTGGAGGCCCTGAGTTTGGTCCCCACATCACAAAAACATTAAGTAAAAATGAGAGATGTTTCTGTGTTTTCAGCTGTCACAGGATGTACTATGATACAGCCTCCCTCCCCTGACCCCTGACATTTGTTTGCTTTTTCTTCTACAGATGCATGTCTCCATTTCCTTTTCTTGAACATGCAAGTCTCCTGCCTCAGTCTCCTCAGGGCTGCAATTACAGGCTGTGGCTTGAGTCCTTGTTTCTCTCTTTCTGTCTTCCTTCCTTCTTTCCTTCCTTCCTTCTTTCCTACCTTCCTTGCTTCCTCTTTTCCTTTCTTCCTTTCTTCCTCTTTCTTTTTTATATTCATGTTGATGTATTTTGTGTGTAGTGTGACATGCGAATGGAGAGACAAAGGACAACTTGTGGGAGTTGACTTGCTCTTTCCACCCTTCCCTGGGTGTAACTCACTGAGCCATTTTACTAGACCCCATTCTTGGTTTTGGGAAATGTTCTTATGCTATCCTTTCCTTCTGCCCTGGTTCACTCTTTGCTGAAACTCTTTTTAGTCACTGATTCATCCTGCTGTGTGGTTCTGTCAGTTTCTTCTGATTTCCCGGGGAGGGAGATTCTTGTCTTTATCTTCCAACTCTTCCACTGAATGTTTATTTTGGAACTTATACATTCATTTCTCTGCCCTCTTTCTTGTTCTCTAGATGCTCCTGATTGGCAGCATCCTGTGTCTCTTGTAGATGTAATCTTTCCTGTCTCTCTGTGATCTCCCTGGGGTTGTTTTGCTTAAGTTCCTCCTGCTCCCTGCATGGTCTGTTTCCTGTCAGTTCCTTTTCTCTGGTTGTTTGGTTTCTAGCTTTTGATGTAATCTGATGTCTGTGACCTTGGCTCTCTGTTCATAGTTAAGAATGAGTCAGGCCAGCCTTGATGGAAAGAAAGATCTGTTTCCCCAGGGAAACTGCCCTGGAAATGGCTACTGTACTGAGGGTCCTCATCTATTTCTAGGCTTTTTTTAAAAGTTGCATTAATTTGTTTATTATGTACAGGTGTGTGTGTGTGTGTGTGTGTGTGTGTGTGTGTGTGTGTGTTTGTGTTGTGCATGTACATACACATTGCCACAGTACACATATAGAGATAAGAGAACAGTTTGTGGGAGTTAGTTCTTGAATATAGGGTTCAAACAAAGATGGTGAGGCTTAGTGACAAGTGCTCTTACCCAACAAGCCATCTCAGCAGCCGTGTTTCTATGCCTTTTGTCAAGGGTCATTCAATTTATTCAGAAAAGCATCCTTTAATGCATTTGGGTGGACTCAGGGGAGCAGTGTGAGGCAGAGATTTGCCTGTTAGTAATCTATAAATGGAGTAGCCTGGATGCCTGACCTCTCTCCATCCACTGTATAGAGCAGAAAAATCTGCTAGATTCACTGTATGAGCTGCAGTGGAAAACTATGTAAGCTGGGCCCCGTGGTGAGCACTCCTGGAGCCTCGGCCACCTGTGAGGCTGCAGCAGGAGTATGGCTTGAGTGCAGGAGTTGGAGGCCACTGGACAACACAGTGAAACCTCATCTCTTAGAACAATAAGACAGTAGAGTGCTTGCCTAGCACACACAAAGTCCTAGGTTCGGTCTCCAGCACCCCACATGGTGGCACGTACCTGTCATCCCAGAACTCAAGAAGTAGAGGCAGAAAAATCAGGAGTTCAAAGCCATCCTCAGTTCCATATTGAGTTCCTTGCCAGCCCAGGCTAAATGTGATTGTCTCAAAGAAAAAGTAAAGCAAAGCAAATAGCCAGACCTGATGGTGTGAGCCCCTGGTGCCAGCTTTTTATGTGGCTTTTGGGAACTTGGATTCAGGTGTTTGTGATTGCACAGCAAGCATCTCACCCACTGAGCCATCTCCCAGCCCCAGTAGACAAGGATTTTATAAGTCAATACTTTAACAAAGTTAATGACTTTCCCACCAGCTGGATCCTCTGTCTACCTCATTCTGCCAGGTATATCCCATTTTAAACCAAATTTCATCCATGTGCCTTCTCTCACCTCCAGAAGCCCTCAGGAGTCTGGCCCAAGCTCCTGGGAGTATTCTAACCCCGAGTGGCTTTCAGGTTCCATATGAACCCACTGCAGTTCTTAGGGTATTAACAGAACCCTAGAAGCATGTGGCTGCATATTGATACAAGATGGTAAAGGGGTTTCCATGGCAATCAAATCTTATCATCAGCCTAGTACCTGGACTGTAGTGAAGCACGAGTTCTCTCCCCCTACCTGTATTAGTTGCTTGTCTCATTGCTGTGGGAAAATATCCTGGCAGAGGCAGCTTAAGAAAGGGATCAGTCCATCATGGCACTGTAGCCATGGCAGCAAGAACCTGAGGCAACTGCTTACATTTTATCCATAGTCAGAAAGCAGAGAGAGGGAGCTCAGCTCACTTTTCTCTTTTTTATTCAGCCCAGACCCCAGCTCATGGGATAGTACTGCCCACATCTGGGGTGGGTCATCCTACTGCAATTAACCTTACCTGGACAGTCCCTTGAAGACACACCCAGAGTCTTATCTGTACAGTCATCCTAAATTCTGCTAAGCTGACAGTCAACATTTAACATCATACTATAATTCCCTCTGTTTTGACCTTCAGGTTCTCCAGTCATTTTTGTTGCTTCATGGGCTATCACCAGGCACTTTCTGGAAGACATTGGGTAAGCTGCTATCAGGAAGAGAAGCAAGAATGCACTGACTCAGGTCTGACAAATGGGGAACCTGCATAAGATCAAACTAGATTCCCTTAATATAGGTGACAATGGTGTGACTGGAACAATATATGAGGCCACTGGCAGTGAATCCAAGATCTAACACTAATAAACACACTGACTTAGTGGAGCTCATTCTATATGGAGATACACCTTGATCAGCCTAGGCACAGGGGAGTGGGGAGGGTGGGAGATGATGAGACAGACTTAGTAGACTTCCTAGGAGAGAGAGGCCTTACCCTCTCCGTGGAGCAGATGGGAGGAGGAGGAAGTAGGGGGAGCAGGAGGACAGGAGGGAGGGGGAACTGGGATTGGAATATAAAAAATAAATTAATAAAAAAGAGAGAGAGAGAAGCAAGAACACAGCACAACATTTTACAGTCAGTCTCTGTAGTAGCTGGATCTGCAGCTAGGAATTCAACCATCCTCACACTGCCGGCTCAAGAGGTAAAATGCTTGCCTAGCATGCATGAAGGTTGAAGTTTGATCCAGCACTGCATTAACTGGATATAGCAGAGAGGGCTAGATACATCTTTAAGATTAAAGATTACAATTTTGTATATATGTGTAGGTATGTGCCATCTTTTCAGCCCTTAGAGGAACAGATCTCAATGGTGGGGGCACATGCTGTGATATGCATTAAGGCATAAGCATAGTCTAAGCATAGTCTTCCTTCCAAGGGTGGCACTGGGAAACATGCTTGCCAGTCAGCCTAGTTCCCCACTCCTAACGGTGCCCAACACTCTCTTCCATAGATGTTGGGACATCAACTCCAACACTACCATCTGGTGGCTCATTCGAGGGCCTGTGATTCTGTCCATCCTGGTGAGTGGCCACCCTCTCCCGAGCTGGGGACAACTAGGGGGACACTGGACCAGTGAGCAACAGAGGGTGGGAGGGCCTGGAGCTTGAGTTCCCAGCAGGTGCTAGGATCCTGGGTAGAAACTGCAGGATCCCAGAGGTTGGCAGTCAGGCTGTTCCCTGAGGAGTGGCAGGAGGGGGTGGGTAAGGCTTTTCAGGAGTCCTTCACTTCTTTTGAGACATGGTCTCTCACTAGGACCTAGAGCTCAGAGGTTTAAGATAAACAAACAACTCCCAAATCTGCCCCCCTCCCCCCCCCAAAGAAAAACAACCACTACCAACAAAACAAACAGAAATCCAGTCCTTCCCAAGAGTGGTGAGTTAGTTTCTTCACTCAGGGAGACTGAGGCAGGATAATTGAGTCTGAGGCTTGTCTGAAGCTCTATTGTGGTGTGCTGCATCAAAGAGAGAAGTGTGGGCTGGTATGATGGCTCAGTGCTGAGCAAACCTCACCACGGGACTTGCATCACCAGAACGTGCAGTGGGAGAGAGAAGCCTTGACTACTGCAAGCTAGCCTTTGACCTCTGCAGGCATGTGTGCGTGTGTGTGAGCACACAGGTCTGTACATGTGTGTGCAAACACAGATATAATAATAAAATAACAAAACTTAAAAAAAAAATAAGTGGACTCCGAGGTTCAACCAAACCTGCATTCATCAAGATTTACAGAAGATTCCAAGCCCAAGACAGCAAGGTGTGTCACTTCCAGCTATGGTCTCTGGATTTTTGTGTTACTGGGACTCTGGGTGCAGGGATGAACAGCCATCCTGGCTGTGGCATCTTTCCTGTGCACAGCTCTAGGAGTCAGGGCCAAGACAGAGGACTCAGGAAGCAAGACCCCTTTAGCCTGACCTCTGCCTTGTGCTTTGCAGATCAATTTCATCTTTTTTATAAACATTCTAAGAATCCTGATGAGAAAACTTAGAACCCAGGAAACAAGAGGAAATGAAATGAACCAGTATAAGTAAGTGTAAGGCAAAAGGCTTGGCATGCCGGGGCAGTCATCAAACACCAACTGAGTACCTGCTGTTTACTAGTGCTGGGTACAAAGACAGGCTGGTGGGGTGGGGGACCTATGGTGTGACTGGGGTGGGCGGGTGGAAGTTTGACTGAATTTGAAGCCTCAGACACTCTGGGGAGAGGAGACTATTAAATCAGACAGGAAGCCTACAAGCATAGAGCTAACCACTGCAATGCTGGGGGGGGGAGGGTGGCAAGGAAGTGGGTAGGAGGTGTGGAGATGAGGTCCAGTAGAAAGATGCGGCAATGCAGATAGCTGGCTCTCATCATTTGTTAAGCACAGCAGCAATAGAACAGGCATCTGATTTATACACTAGTAAAGTTGTTGAGTGGGTGTTTATCTGTATGTTACCGATAGAGGTGGGCGACCAGAAGCACTGAGGCTTGGCCATGAGGCTGGTGAGTGTTGCATCTGGGTGGTGAGCATGTGGGACTTTGGAGATTTTGTCAAATAAATGAAAACATGTTGGAGATGTTGTTCTATAACAGAATAATTGCCTAGTGGGAGTGAGGGTCAGGGTTCAGCCCCTACCACTGTAAAATACACAGATCATAGATAAGTGGGTAGATAGGTAGATGATACATAGCTAGTTATATAGATAGATTATATAGATACAAATATTCAAAGATGTCAGAGAGATGATAGATAAATAGATGGTTAATACATGATAGATAAGCAGGCACATACAAAGATAATTGATAAATTGCTGGTAGACACACAAATAGATGACAGATACAGTTAGACAGACAGACAGACAGACAGACAGATCCAGAAAAAAAGTATCTGGAGACATTGCAGCAAAACTTAAAGCAATCAGGCCCTAGAGTTGAACCCTGTGTGAGGGGTTCCTGAAGCAGATCAGGCGGGAGTGGTAGCATGTCCCTGTGTCCCCAGGCGCCTGGCCAAGTCCACCCTCCTGCTGATTCCCCTCTTCGGCATCCATTACATTGTCTTCGCCTTCTCCCCAGAAGATGCCATGGAAGTCCAGCTGTTCTTTGAATTGGCCCTGGGCTCCTTCCAGGTAAGTTTTGGGGATTGTGACTTAAAAGAGGGCTCCTCAGGACTGGAGCAGTGGCTTGGTCAGTGAAGCACTGACTGGCATTGTAAGCATGGGGACCTGAGTTCAATCCCCACATCCTACAGAAAACCTGCATGTGGTAGTGTGTGCTTATAGTTCCATTGATGATGAGATAGGAGACAAGTCACAGGGATCCCTGGAGCTGCCCGGTGAGCTAGCCTAGCCTTCTGGAGAAGTCCCGGGCCAATGAGAGACCCTATGACACACAAAAAGTCAAAGAACACCTGAGACCTCCACATCTAGGTATATGAATTCACCTATACACACACACACACTCCTCTACACACACACACACACACACACACACACACACACACACACACACACACACAAACACCTTTCAATTTCCTTAGAGAGAAACAAGGCTGCAGAGTGCATAGATAGCAAGCTTCAAAGTCTGTCTCATACAGTGATAACCCAAGGGCCACAGGAGGGACTTTATGATGCCAACTGATTATTTTTTTATTAATTTTTTCCTTTTATTTGAATTAGAAACCTCCCCAGGTGAGGCCTTCCATAGGGTGTCATCAGAGTCTATTATCATATCCTTTGGGATAGGGCCTAGGCCCACCCCCGTGTGTCTTGGCTCACGGAGTATCCCTCTATGTGGAATGGGCTCCCAAAGTCCACACCTACGCTAGGGATAAGTACTGAACTACTACAGGAGGTCCTGTAGATTTCTGAGGTCTCCTCACTGAAATCCACGTTCCTGGGGTCTGGATCAGTCCCATGCTGGTTTCCCAGCTATCA